CATCTTTTCTAGGTTTATTCCCAGTGGGGCATTTATTAGTATTTCATTCCTTTTTATTGCTAAATAGTATCCCTCTGTGGGGATATATCACATTTTATTTATCCATTCATTGGTTGATAAGATTTTTCTACCTTTTGGCTATTATAAATAATGCTGCTGTGAACATTCATGTATATATTTCTGTGTGAACCTATATTTTTCTTCTCTTGATTATATACTGAGGAGTGGAATTTGGAATTGCTGGGTCATATGGTAACTCTACGTTTAATCTTTTGAGAAACTGCCAGACTATTCTTCCAAGTAGCTGCATCATTTTACATTCCTTTCTACCAGCACTGTATGAGAATTCTGATGTCTCCACATTCTCATCAACACTAGTTATCTATCTGTTTGATTATAGCCTTTCTAACAGATGTGAAGTGGTATCTCATTGTGGTTTGATTTGCATTTCTTCGATGGCTAATGATGTGGAGCATTTTTTCATGTGCTTATTGGACCTTTGTATAACTTCTCTGGATAAATGTCTGTTCATATCCTTTGCCCATTTTGAAACTAGGTTACTTGCCTTTTTATTATAAAATTGTAAGACTTCTTTACATAGCCTAGACACAAATGTTTTTTCAGATTTATAATTTGCAAGTATTTTTCCCCATTCTATGGGTTGTCTTTTCACATTCTTGATGGTGTATTTTGAAGCACAAAAGTTTTAAATTTTGATAATATCTAATTAATATATTTTTTTCATTTGTTGCTTGTGCTTTTGTGTCACATCTAAGAAGGTTTTGCACAACTCGGAATCACAATAATTTATTCTTATATTTTTTTCCTAAGAGTTTCTCAATATTAGCTTCTACACATTAGGTCTTTGATGAATTTTTAACTTTTATGTATGTGTAAAGGAAGAGTCTGACTTCATTTTTTGCTTATGAACACAAAAAATTCAGTTTTCCAAGCACCTCTTGTTGAAAGGACCATTCTTTCCCTCTTGCATTATCTCGACAGCCTTGTTAAAAATCAACCGACCATAAGTATAAGAGTTTATGTTTATATTCTTGACTTTATTCATTTCTATGTCTATCTTTGTGCTAGTACCACCCTAGCTTGTTTATCACAGCCTTATAGTAAATTTTAGAAGTGGGAACTGTGAGTTCTCCAACTTTGTTCTTTTAAAGATTGTTTGACTATTCTATGTCCCTTGCAATTCCATATGAATTTTAGTTCTAACAATTCTGTAGTAGTTTTTGGGATTTGCTATACAAGATCATGTCATGTGCAAATAGAGATAGTCATACTTCTTTCTGTTTAATCTGATGCCTTTTGTTTCATTTTCTTGCTTAATTAACTTAAATGCAATGTCAAATAGAGGTGGTGAGAGCAGACATCCTTGTCTTGTTTCTGATCTTACAGGAAGAAAACATCCAGTCTTTCACCATTAAGTATACTCTTAGTTGTAGGTTTGTCTTTGTTCTAGAAAGATAGTTTTGCTGAATACATAATCTTTCCTTCACAGTTATTTCTTTCAGCACATTAAAGATATTCTTCCGCTGTTTTCTAGTTTTCTTGTTGCTATTGAAAAGTCGGCTGTCAGTCCATTTACCATTTACATGCAGATGATTTGTCTTTTCTCTCTGGCTACTTTTAAGATGAGCTCTTTGATGATTTGAGGTTTTACTCTGGTATATGTAGGTGGAATTTTAAAAATTTTTCCTGCAGAATTTTATTAGGTTTTCTGGATTCAAGGATATGTGTCTTTTAACAGCTCTAGAAAATTCATAGCTGTTGTTGCTTCAAATATTGTCCTCCCACTCATGTTCTCTATTATATAGCCCAGAACTCTGATTAGATATATATATGTCAAGACCTCTCACCATATTCTCCATGTATTAACTTCTCTTTTATTTTTACCAACTTCTCATATTTTTTATCTATTAGCTGTATAATTTTTTTGGATGAAATCTTCTGGTTTATTAATTCTTTAGCAACATCTAATCTGCTATTTAATTTATACATTGAGTTTTTAATTTCAAAGATTATATATTTCTACTTTTAGAAGATTTATTTGTTTCCTTTTCAAATCTTCTGTGCTATTACTTATAATGTGCTGTTGGGTTTTTTTGCTCATATTTTCTAGCTTGTTTAAATATATCAATATAGTTATTATGTAATGATAGAAAATTTCAATATACAAAGTCATTGAGGTTCTGCTTGCTCTCACTCCATTATAATTTGTATGTTTTTGACTGACTATGAGTTACCCATTTTCCTCATAACACTATCTGTGGAAATTCTTTGAGGTCTAGAATAAAGTTGAGTTCTTCCAAAGAGGAGTATCATTTGCTTTTGCCACTTGCCAAGTGGGAGACCACTGTAACTTAAATTTTCTGTTTGACGCTATAATTATTTTTATTTATACCAAATATAGGACATGAATGTAGTCATGAACCCATGTATATGGTGAATTATGGACAGGTATTTTCATAAAAGTTTTATTCCCCTCTACCCAGTGCCAAAGTTGGAACAGGCAAGTTTCCTTGCTCTCTCCTTCCCCAGAGCCAGTTTATTTCTCATCTATCATACACTGAGAACATGCTTTTTTCAGGGGGAAACAGCTTCACACATAGGTCTCCTATTAGATTCCCACTTTGACTAGGTGCTAAGCTTTGCCTCCTGTTCTCTGTGATCCATTTAGACAACAGAGTAAAAGCTCAAAGTCTCTAAGGTTTAATATAAACTATCAGGATGAAATATGGCATTGGTAGTCACAACAGGGTTTCTGTTTCTGTTTTTAACCTTTGTAGATTCCTTCCTTTCATGTCAGCACAGTAGTGGATGTTAAAAGAGTTGTAAAAGAAATTCATAAACATTTTAGATTCTTTAGATGACAAAGCTATCTAATAGGGTACTTAATTGCCATGTTGATTACTGTTGGAAATAAAAATCCTCTCATTTGTTTTACCTTTAAGCAAACAAATATTGAAAATATTCAGAAAAATACTGGTCTATTATTTTTCCCTTAAAATCTCCATTGAAAGAGATTCTACAATCTCCCTGTGCTAAATGCCAAAATGCCCACATTATTCCTTTTTGCATTAACATCCTTGAAATCTGATGCTTCAGATCCCCCTAAAAGAGGCAAAGTTTATTTCTCTGTGACCTTGAATCTGGGTTGTCCATTTGACTTGTTTTGGCCAACAGCAGGACATTAAGCTGAGGTTTGAAAAGGTCTTACTGATTAAAGCTTGTTCTCTCATTGTATTTGGAGCTCTGAGACCACCATATGAACAAGTCCAAGCCAGCCCACTGAAGGATGAGAAGCCACGTGGAGGCACTGGAGTTAGCAGTCTGCCCATCACTGCCAGCAGACCGACCTGCTGACTACATATCATCATGATGAGACTAGTAGAGATAAGCAGAGCTAGAAACTGGGAAACACTGCTCAGCCAGCCCAGAGAATCATGAGCTAAATAAACAATTGGTTTAAGCTATTAAGCTTTTGCTTTAGTAAAAGGTAACTGATACACTCTCTTAAGAATATAATCACATAATTACATCCCAAACCACTTTGAAACAATTTTCTTGTCTTCACCCTTTGTCCTGCCTCAATTTCAGAGTGTCAAAATAATCATGCACCAAGATAATCTTGCAGTTCAACTTACACTAAAGGAGTTTGCCAATTCTCAATATAAAATTAAAATCACACCAATTAAAATGTATCCTGTATATGCAACTATAAACAAATTAGGAAATACGAATATGTAATTTGTTTGCTAAGTGCAGAGTCTAGTTAGATCATGAAGAAAGAAGTCCGGGATTTTCTCAGTGGCAGGGGAAGTCACTCTTAGGTGCATGAGACTGAGGCAGTTACTGATATAAAAAGAACCGGGGGCTTCAACTGACCTTAAACTCAATATAAGCCGGTGGTGTGAAGTGGATCCTCAGGAAGTCAGTTCAATATCAGTTACATCAACAGAAATGTAGTCCTTTGTATTTGCCAGACCTTGAAAACTGTGATCTGTTCTGAGTATCATACCTTTAGGAACGACAGTGACACACTAAAATGGATCAAAGAGGAAGACTCCAGGACAATGACACCGTTGGAATCATTTAAGATGAGACCCAATTTAAGGACCTGTGATATAGTTTGACATGGGGAAGACCTGGCTATGAGCATCGGAAGAGCAGTCACAGGGAAAAGCAAATACAAATTATTCTTCAGACTTTATCAGAACAAATTTGAGATCAACAAAAAAGTTACAAATTTTGGGTTAAACATTTTCTAAACCCATAGGACACTCCAACATTAGAATGGCTACTCTGTGGAGCCCGGAAGTCCAAATGAAGAGGTCAAGATGCGGAGGCTGGAGAGAGATTTGTAGGGACATTGTGGAAGGGTGTGATTTCCCCGGGCCAGAGGGCTCTCTGTATTCTTTCAGCTGAATCCCTTTTCCTGCTGCTAATTATCTGTCTTCTTTAAGAACTCTTGGCTCAGTTGAGTCGAGGATTACAAAAATTAGCCTTGTGTAAGCTGTAACAATGAGCAGTGACCTAACAGCTATGTGCTCCCAAAGTCAAGATGTCTCTTCGTCCTTAGTTAAACGTGACCTTTCAGGATTGCTACACTGTCATAGAATAAGTACTCATCTCTGAGCCATGCTGAATTTTATCCAGGATAGTTTGCACTTTCATTGGCTCTTCCATTGATTTATAGGCACAAGCCCAGAGTCTTTTCGGATGAGTAAGTTAAGCTTGCAGAATAGTCTTTTTCCTTCTGGATCAGCACCTGCCCCTCCAAGGTTACCAGAATACTTGTCTCCCTCACGTACCAACACTGCCCTCACTCTAAGGGAGACTCTCATAAGAAGAGGCTCAAGGAAAGCCTCTGTAGGCCTTTGCAGATATTCCGGCTGCCTATGTATGTTCTTCCTGCCCCTGTGGCATGACCTGGTGGTGCAAGAATGGTCAGGAATCTGAGAAGAGAGTGGGTTAGCTGAGCCTCCTACCTTGACAGGTGAAGCATCTGATGTGGAAGTGGTTGTTGTGCACGCGGACCACTTCCCCTTTGCAGGTGTCTCCACAGCGGTAGCACTGGATGACGCTGGAGCTGCCCCGTGGGTTGTAAGGATTCTGCTGATAAGGAACTGTAAGAGAAACAAAGAGATCACTATCCAGAGGCCCTGATTCTTTACATAGTCTGCTGCAAGACATTATCATAATTGTAGCTGGAAGAAGAGGTGGAAGGGGAAGAAATGATGGGCAAAGTATCTTCAATTCATCATCAGGATGACTGCCAAGCTAAGGCAGCGCTGAGTGGTATGAGACATGTCTGTAGACCTTCTTAAGCAGGCAAGGAGTTTTGAGTGAGCATAGCCTTTCCTTATGTTCCTTGCAAGAACACAAGCCAAATCCCTGAATGAAGACACATAAGATGACAGAGTATTTCAAGGTAAATTGTCAGAAATACCATCTTTTGAGTAAGCTTTCAATTAAAATTAGGCCCCAAGCTTGTCCAAGGGAATCTGGGGCTTGCAAATGACTCAGAGATTCAAAGAAATGGGTGGCTGACCCTGTCTCCAAATGGCTTTTGAGTTAAACAAGTTCTAGCCCCTCTCTGGGCCTCAATTTTCATGTCTATCAAACGAGATTGGTCAAAGGTGGCACCAACTTTCATAAAGAAGGCATGAAGGGAGGCACTCTGGCTGGAGGGAGGCTGACAAAGGTACCATTCTCAAAGCTGCCTTTGAATGGCACTTTCCATAAGACTGGGAAAATGTTACATGTATATAATTAAGAAAAAAATGCTGGTGGAGTTTATGAAAGGGTTGAAGTCACTGGGAGCTACGGTTGAGTGGCCAGCATTTGATGATGCCTAAGAGTTCTACTAGCTTATTGGGTCTATTATTTTTTCCCTAAGACCATCTCCAGTTTTGGTATCTGTGCTGCTTAAGTGAGAATGCTCAGACCACCTCGTGGCTACTTTTCTAGATATCCTTTTCCTGAGATACACTTGGCTTGGCCATTCTAAAATCTAGTCATCTGATTTATTTAAATGGTAGGCACCTGCCTAGAGCACAAAATCTCACGAATGGAAGGAATATTAGTAGCTCTCTGGTCTGATCTCATTATGTATTAGCTGTTGACGTAACTTTGCCACTGAGGAACCTACTTTTCTCTCTTATAGGAAACCCCTGTGGCACTGGGGAGAGAATTACTCACTTCTTCAATTCTCACTCAAAGTTGAAGGAATAGTCCAAAAATTTCTGCTCATGCCTTATTAGGAGAAGGCTCACTCTTGTCCTACTCATAAAGATAACCACCTGATTGAAGAGGAATTAGTGCCTATCATTTATACATGTAGACTTCCTGGATAAACTCTGAATAAGTATATCATAAATTAACCTGGACTCACAGCAACCTTGAACTACAAAAGAATTTAGAGGTCACCTACTTTGGGGATTCTTGACCCTGTGTGGTAGTTATGTCTGTTCATTGGAAATTTGAACCTTTTCTTCCAAGCACATGGAGGATTGCACATGGTGACTTGCTTGGCAGTGAAACGTGAACTGAAATTGTGCATGCCCCTTCCAATTGGAAGCCTTAGGAGCCAGTATGTGATCTGGTACATTGCCTTTTCCTTACCCCAGCAATGAATGTTACCCCAGATGGTGTGCAGGATGCATCAGCTTGGATCCTGATTGAGGAGTCATGGAACAGAATTTCAAACTAACCCATCATAAACCTCTATCAGGAGCAAGAACAAATGTCTGTTGTCATAGTCTCTGAGACTGCAGCAGAACCTGGGATCTGACACTGCTCTTTAATTAGATTTGGGTTATGTACATTATCTTGTAGCTTTGTTCATATTCTCAGAGGTCTATGATCTCCAAAACTGATCTCATCTGCCCTCCTCCTTTTAAAAAGGAACGGGGAATTGGAACTTCTGATCATCTCCCATTTACAGGTATCCTGAATCACAAGCATGCTATAGGACAAAGAGCTGGTTACTTAGCACTGAAACTGTGGCTTCTGACAACTTTGCTAACTGAGGTGGGAGAGTAATATACTTCCTGCAGTCTTTCTTTCATGGTGTTTTTGCACATTGTTCATCTATTTTTCTTTGTCTTAAATTCAAGACAAAAATCAAACAAATCAGTTAGTTAACTAAATCATTAACTAACACATTAAATAGGTTAGTAAATGTAAAATATTTCAAAAACTGCATTAAGTGCTCCACAAATGTTTACGGGTATCATGGCCATCACGCCCTTCCTACAGCTCTGAGCAATCCTTCCCCACCCCCAAAATGTTCATAAACGTTCCCTTTAATCTTATTCTCTTTTCTTTTTCTGATTCCCACTCAATGTTCTCTGGAAAATAATTCACTCTCTCTTTTGCCCTGAATATGTGAGAAAAATATAGATCCTGTTTATATGAGCAGTGTGGTGATCTACCATTGCCAAGGGATACAAAGCTGTGAGTCTGAAAATAAAATAAGAACGGATAGTACAATCATCACCATTAATGATGAGCGCTCTTGGAGGTCTCCAACAGTCCCCTCCAGGATCACTGCACAAACTTTCATCTACCTCTTCTAATTCAACCTGTCTTATTGTTCAAGAGCCAATTTCTAAGATCAATTTGATTTTCCCTAATTGGATTTGATTTTCTGGGAAAATCGATTTGTGCGCATGGTCCTCCATCACAACTCAGTCTTTGAATCACTTGGATAAGAAAGCACAAAATCAGTATGAGGGGAATGGATTTGGAGAATAAATTTTCCTGGGGCTGAAGTAGTGACGGGACCCCAGCCCTAACCCTGGTGCATCTCCTCAAGAGAAGGATGCTGCTTTGGTAATGCTGCGTGTGGCCAGAGCTCTAGAAATATCCGATGTGTGTAAGTAGTCCCATAAGCAAAAATTCATGCATTGTTGGTGTGAGTTCTTCCAGATTGCTGATGTAAGCTGTGATTACAAAAGAACAGTGGTGTAGCAAGATTTGAGCTCACAGGTGTGGCAAGACCTTTCCTCATGAAGACTGGCAGTAGGAACTCTGGGTGTCAAGGGATATGTCACATCTCTCCTCCTGCCCTGGAAGCCGACTCATTTCCAGTAAGATTTTATATTCTTGGCTAATCAAGTCAGAAACTCAATCTAACATTGTTCTGTGTGTGTGGGCCTGTGTACTGGGTGTGTGTGTCACTTCTTCCTACTAATCTATAACTGCCCTGAAACATTAAAATTTGTTGATTTTCTGCTGGTTTTTATTTCCACTGATTTTTATTTCAGAAAATGCAGTTTCAATCACATGATTTATATAACATTTCTTATGGGTGAATGTCTTTTGAATTCCAAATTGACTTACGCTTGAATATTTGAACAACTTCTTATGTTATAAACTACCTACCCTTGAGAGCAATATTTGAGACACAAGCCTCAAAGGACATTAGCTCTGCTCATTTGTGAGATAATCCATGAAACTGCAATGTTTAGACCTTATGGATTATATGATCAATTTCTGAAACCTATGCAGGAACCTCTGGCTTCTTTTATCATTACTGACCAATAAAGGGTGCCCAAGACAGACATTCCCAATTACTAATCCTTAGTGCCATTCACTGGAACATTCTGAGATGATAGGCATGGTCTAGAGATCTATGCTGTCCAACACAATAGTCACAGGTGACCACTGGCCACTTGAAATGTAGCTAGTGTGACTGAGGAACTTAGTTTCAAATTAAATTTAATTTTAATTTATATAAACCTACATTTAAATAGTCATATCTGGCTACTGGTTACCATAATGACAGTGCAGCCCGATAGTTAAAATACAACAATAACAATAAAAACAACAAAACACTAGGCAGAGGGAAAAGAAATGAAACTTGGTTGAATCCTAGAAATATAAAAATAACATGTAAAAATTAATTTAGAAATACCAGCTCAGACTAAAATGATTCATTTTTATCCCTAAAGAGTTTTAAAGTTGTTCTTAAACAATTTGCAATTGGAACCAATGATGCACATTCACCCATCCTGAATTTGATCTGGAAACAAAGATCATAAGCAGTGAAATAAATGCTGATTTTTAAGGAAATCACATATTTTCAGGCAGGGAAAGACTGAACAATCCTAATCTTTTCAAGAACGAAAGCAAGTAAATCAGTTGGCAATGGCTGCTGGTATAATTTTTTAAGACAAAAAAAAAAAACAACAAAAAACAAAAAACAAAAAACCCAAAAAACAAAAAAGCAAACCCAGTTTGTCAATGCCTCTGAGATTAAAAATTAAGGATCTGAAACATGAAGCCCACTTTTATATGCCTATCAAATCTTCAGACTTCTATGAAAAAATACATCTTAATCCCACAGCTAAATTTGTAAGTAAAGCTCTTCCCAAATTTTAGAGGTAATTTCACATTGTTGGAGCAAACCAGCATATTGGAAGGGGAGGTGTGACTGACTTCCTCATTTTTCTTATGGGTAAATGTCTTTTGAATTCCAAACTGAAAATGAAAAGGAGCCTGTGAGTTGACTGCAATGGTAAACAAATCCAGCATCCAGTTTCTCCACCTGAACTTCTCCTCCCTCTCTCGCCTGTGGTTCTTTGTCTCTGTGTGGCTGGGGTTACCTGGGTTCCAATTTCCTCTCTGCTGTTACCTGGTGTTCCAATTTTGGGCAAATCACCTAACTTCTTTGGCCCCAATTCCCTCTTTAGAAGAGATTGAACAAAATCATCCATACATGTTCCTCCAATTACAACATGATTTTGCCTTGTGTCCTCTTCTGCGATTCCTCCTCTCCCTCCACACTCTCTCCTCTCCATTAACTGGTCTCACTTTTAAGCTAGACTGATTTTAAGTTATCAGATTTATGAGTATCTTTTGAAAACAGATAATGGCATGATTCCTCTCCTATAAGCAATATGACCTGAGTTATACTCTTTTCACTGATGTGTGCCTGCACATTTTTTTTTTTTTTACTCTCCTGAGAGTCGTTTGACCTTGTAGATAAAAATGTTCCCACATTTTAATAGTGTCTTTAAAGTAGTCTTTAAAAGGTAGGAGCACCTACGCTGTGCTGGAGTATAATTAAAAGAGTGACAATACTGACTTGAAGCTGGCATAACAACTGTGAATAATTGGC